ATAGCTAGGTAACCCATGCAATCCACGTAAAAACACGATAAGTCAATTAACATTTCTACATTAATATTGATATGCATTAAAGTTGCTCAGTAATGAACAAAGATTTATAAGCATTCAATTTGGTAACAATGAAAGACATCTTTGTAAAATATGTGCGATAGATCAGAAGGAAGCATTTTAATCCTCAGCCAAGAAATGAGAAAATCATTTGGTTGTTCAGCTGGAGTTTCACACTTGAGCAGACAGCTGTGGCAGTTATAAATATCTGTATCACGAGCTGGGATCTGTATCTGTGAAGAGAGCTGAACTGCCACCAGCAGGGCTGGGCTTCTATAAATAGCAGGCTGGCTGGCTGGCAGCTCACTCTGCCCCTGTCTCTGCTGGATTTGATTAGCCCCGTAGAAGCTCTGCCCTCCCCGACTTCAATACACCCCTGACACAGTGCTTGCGTGTTTGTGCGTGTTTTGTGCATGTTTTGTGTGTGTGTGTGTGTGTGTGTGTGTGTGTGTGTGTGTGTGTGTGTGTGTGTGTGTGTGCGCTTGCGTGTGTGCGTGCGTGCCTCTCTGGAGGCCTGGTTCTGTCTCACTGCACACAACCACACTTCATTGCTGAAATTGCTTACATCGGCTTTTCTCAAGGGAGATCCCATTTTCCTCTGAGCCAACATGTTGAAGGTTACATCTTGTGTAAATTATGACGCAGGATTTTTATGTTGTGGTGCCCGACACGAAACAATAATAATAATAATCCGTTGCCTCAAATTGAAAAAAACATAGTTTCTCCTAGCTCCTCTCATTCTTTTAGCATCTTTTAGGTCTAGTGTTGGTCAGTAATAGTTTTTCCAGGCCAAAAACTCGGCTCATCAGCGATGTTTCATGTTTTTCGTAAAAACACTAGCTGTAAGAACCTTGTAGAGCATTTAGCAGACACTCATACAGATATCTCTGATAAGAGAAGGTGGAGACCAAAACAGAGCAAAAGTGAGTAAAAGTTGATCAGACAGCCAACTCCAAATAAATTGCATGTCTTGATTTGTGTCTGCTGGATGTATGAATTAACAAGGAGGGAAAACTATAACTACACATTAATGACTTGAACATAAAAAATGAACAGAAATAAATCTTCACAGGCACAACAAAAAACTTGAGCACCTTATTTTGTTGGTTAAGAATTAGTTTGCTTTGAATTATTAATATTCACTGTTTTCTCGTATCATCTTAGCTGTACGTTTAATCCAGAGTTTCTGTTCCTGATATCTTATGATTCAAGGATAAACTATAACCAAAGGAAAAAAATGAGTGTCTCCAAAACCCACTGTGAGGGTCACTGTTAGAGATTTTATTGCAGTGTCCACTGCAGTAATATCTTACAAATGACCACCTGAAATGGAACTATTTCATTTCATATTTGGCTGAGTGAAGAGGCGCACCTCATACAGGAGATTGTGCCCTCTAAGACCCCTGATGTTGGCAAGAGGAAGCACAGCAGCAGCCCTCGCTCTCTCTCACACTGTTCGCCTCAGTGAAGCACATATATCTGCATTCGCACAGCAATCTCTGGATTGCAGTACCACGGCCTCATGAACAGGAAGGTGAAACTGCACTGCATGCAGCTTTGCAGCTCCCTGGACATTGGGTGTTTTGAAGATAATCGCTGGGTGTGTCTGAGGGGGCCTGACTATTTCTGTATCATAGCCTCACTTGAAATGTCCTCGATGACATCTGTCCGGTGAAGACAGGTTCTCAGGAGGACTAAGTAACTGAGCAGCACAGCACACTGACTGGCTTTAAAATGAAAGGTGGGTTTACTACAGGTCCCTTCTCTTCTCTTACCCTCAGTCTGTCACTCAAATCAGCCGTCACATAAATCCCTGGTGGAGCTGGGGTTCAAGCTCCTTATGAAAGTCTACAGTTACTATTCGCATTCACATAATCAAACATGGACCGTTACAGAAGAAGCGTGGACATAACCCATCGATCTTTGCAGATACTGTCGAATCAGAAGAGAACGTGAAGAGATGATATGCTCGCAGTGAGGACACGGAGGCAGAGTGAGACGTACAGATGCAGCGAAGAGGTGAGGAGAGTCAAAGACACCAAGTTGTGGATGTGCCCTCAAGGTCCGATGGGGATGAGTCACTGAAAATGTGTAAATAATGGACAAGGCCAACACGTCTGAGAGGCAGGACCTCCCTCACCTGCGGTGGATTCAACCCACTCTGACACAAGAAACATTTTTCAAGGCCACAGGCATTTCGCAATTTGGTGGGAGGATTGAAGAATGGATGCCAAGCCTGAGCAATGAAGGGTCACATAAACACGTTAACTTCTCCTGTGGGGATAACAGATCAGTCAGGCCGAAATTGGTTGAGGTGGACAAAAACTGTGAATATCACGCTTAATTGAACCACCTAAGATTTAGATATGCAGGAAACGCCCTGCTTTACTGCAGGCAAGTGTGGCTTGAAGGTTTTCAATTTCCTGTGCATCTGTCGATCCTTCCCTTTCAGCCAAGTTATTAGTACCTAATAAAAAATCTTTCATTTTATCACACGCACTGACAAATCAAGTTTACACCAGCAGATCACCTTTTCAAGAAGTATTCTAACATATGCGGAGACATAGCTCAAAAAACGTGGCAGTAAGTGGAATCGAAGAGTTCACAGAGATGTGTTCAAGGGACACACCAGCACTTTCCTCTTGAAAATTGGAAGGTCAAGACTCTGTTTAAGGATGTGGAGAGTTCTGATGAAGGTCCCATACTGCAAGTAACTTTTCTTCATTGGCTTTGTCATTCAAAATGTGTCCGTTTTCAGAATTCTTGCTTTACATAATATCAGTGCATTAACGTGGTTGAGGTTCTGATTATAATGTTGAAAGTTTGTGTTCTTTTCTATATAGACAAACATTCTAACGACACTGCACCCGTCCAGTCGCTGTGGGTTCAAAATCCTGACAACAATACAGCTTGTAATGACAATGAGTCATGCAGCTGCGATTAACACGTTTACTATCATACGCGGGCAAATTAGTGCAGAGACACAGCAAAATGAATCACCCCGAGGTGTATGTCCAAATGAAAGCAGAGAGAGCTCATGTCTTTACAACCTGCTTGAAGGCAGAAATCTTACAAGACAAAAGTCCTTATGTAATTGGCTTTACTTAAACAATGGTTCCGACACCATGTTCTGTGATGAAACGCGGAGCTGTCACTCAGACTCCGCCTCTAATAAGCCTGTCCACTGATTAAAATGCCAAGCTTGTCTTTAACATTGGCTGCTTCTTTTTCCCCCTTTCCTAGGTACATGGATATTGAACGGGCAATGCATTAAATCCAAAGGGGAAATTAATTGTGCATGTTACCTGCAGAATTGCTGTGTTGCATAAGGAAGACCTGTAGTCAGTACAGTAGAAATGTGAGTGAGTACACCACACGAGACACACTGGTATGATTGGTAGAATATACTCTTGGAAATCAATATCTGATGTCCATCAAGGATTAAAGCTGTGAGATCTGTTTAGTTGTTGGCTTTTTACTTTCAATTCTTTTCAGATTGATTCTACAATATCAACTTTATTGATGAACAAGAAAAGTACTGAAGCAGTTAATGATGATAAATTAAGTATAAATATTAGGATAAATCATGACTGATACTCCATCAGAATCCTAAATGCAATATAACATTCAGCTTAAACAACTTAAGGTAACCAAGTGATGAAATTAATTCAAAAGGCCAGGTGAGTTTTGAAAAAAAATTTCAGTTGCTTTTTGTTTTTTTCATACACTTCGAAACTTCCAGTTCATTTTCCTTTAGACTTCCTCCAATGATAAACAAAACCCTCAGTTATTTCTCACAGTGAAGTTGCTTAGCTATAATTAAAATTAAGAGTAGATTTCCTTTTGTGTTTGTGAAAGTAGAGGTTAAACACTAATTATGTTTTATTTAATTATTTGATTATCATACACTAGCTATTTGGCTATAGCACGTACATACACATATTATACAGTATAGTGCAGTTTGAGGCACATACGATTCCTCTTCTATCCTTCAAAAAAATCTCAGGGAGGCATCTGATTGGTCCCAAATTCATTTTGCAGCATGACAATGTCCCCCAGAGTCATGAAGAGCTATCATGTTCATATGTCTGTTACACATTCATTTTAGCAAAAGGTTTTGCAAACAAATCTGTCACTAACTAAGCACCTTTAAACATGAACAGGAAGCTTCCTCCTGTGCTTTGTCTGCCATTATTCAACATCCTGAAAAGTCTGGGTTGACTTTGTTTGGCAGCACATCTGAACATAAGACATCAATGCTGTCTTCTCTCCTGCTGATTCACAAAGAGGAGAAAGACGTTCCTCTGGTTGTCAAAGCTGAAACGATGCAGCCACCACACTCGCAGCTGGTGTGGCTGCTGTGCTATGAATGACCCTCAGCAGGTAGACTTGGTCAGACCGCCCAGTTCTACCCATCGCTCATGCAGGGGACCTCCACAAAACATTCTCCCCTGCTGATCGCCTGAATCTACTGCTTTCTCATCCTCCATCTGGTTCTTTTTTTCCTTCTTAGCGACACCATCTCTGTTTCCCCTTTCCACCATTTGCAGTTTCACACAAAAACCCTGTGAACACTTTCCCTCTTCGTTCTATGCCTGTGTTGCTCTGAGTCCTGATTCAAGGAGCCAGGCAAAACTGCAGCCAAGGAGAGACACCAGATAGAAAAACTCAGTGTTCTTTCTAGAAGCACATACCAAAGGCTGTAGTGTGGTAGTAAACAATGCTGTAGAAACACCTCAAAATTTGCAAAGACTTGAGATTTAGAGCCAGTGGAGGAAGGTTAAATATGCCAACCTGAGATGGATAATGCATTTTCTCTAGCCTTGTACTACAAGCCAGGAAACACAAACAAAAGGGAAAAAACTGCTTGCATCTTGATCCAGGAATGAGCAAAACAATAGGGATTTATTTTATTCATTGTAAAGAGGTGTTTGTGTGTTCACCTTAATATGGCTGTACTCTGCTTTGCCAGACTCACTGCTGACAGGCTTGGTCTCAGGCCTGGGTTTGAGGACTTGGCGCAGCGGACTGGAGATTGGCAGGCCTGTCACGCTGATCCCATCTGAAAAGACATTGTGGCACCACACAGTCAGCAAAACAAAAAAAAAACAATAAAGTAAAGAGACATTGCTACTATTAAACAGGACCCAGCAGAGCATCACAGTCATCACACTGAACAATATCAACATTCTGTGATGCATTATAATGTTTAACAGGAGCTGTTTTGTGTGTTTTTATAACTTTTTTAATCTTCTCACTTTGCTTCATTCATCTCTTGTCAAGTTAGATTCCCAACATGTCCCAATAGAACCATGTAACTCCCAATTAACTGATCTCAACAAAACAAGTAAACAGGCCTAGACTAAGGCTTAGTTCATGCTGTTCTTACAGTGTTGTCACTTCTGCTAGTACACGGCATCGTTTCTGTCCGTTGCACACCGCCCAAGATTTTTAACTTTGAGAAAACGGCGCATTAAGTACAACATGGATTAAGCTGAAGGCATTAATAACATTAACGAGGGAACATAGAGATTCTCTTTTCTCTAGAGATATGGCTGCTGGAGGTAGTTACTGTCGTTAAAGAGGACACATGAAACTATGGGGGAAACTTTGTTTTCCGGAAGGAAACAAGGCAGTGTATTTTTCTCCTTGGCAACACCTATCGTTTAGGAGAGGACCGCACAAAGTCACTGCGACTCAAACCAGACTATAAATGGGAAAGGCGTTATGTTGACGTCATGGTTGCTAAAAGAAATGACCAGTCCGTCGAGAATAAACACAGCTTCAAGCATAACAGCAGCTTTACAAGCCGCAGGAGTAACCTTGACTTACCCCTTGGGGTATGTCATTGGTGAATTATAGGGCTGGGTGATGTGACTTCAAATAAATATTATGATTATTGTAAAAATCTTACCTCAATAACGATAATGAGCGATTATTTTACTTTTTTTGTATTGTTTATTTAGTTATTAATTGATTACTTTTTTATTAATGTGTTTGAATACATATCACATAAACTCTAGAGTGAATCAAACAAACACAAAATTCACTTCAAGTCCTGTTCAGGGCCTAATAACTACTGATTAGTGTTGGTGTTTATTGTTAGCATGTGAAATGCAGCACATGAGCCAAGCTGCTTATTTAGGGTCACATGGCTCTGTCCAACTCTTTATTTGGTTTACAGCAACTCAAGCCAGTGAAATGCATTCCTGAATTCAGTCAATTCATCAAAACCTATACCAAAATGTATTGGTTATTATGGTTTGAACAAAACTGCTTCAGTAGATTTAGTGTTATCCTTCTAACACACGGACAAAGAGCAACACAAACATATCGTGGAGACAATGACAACTTTAGCCTCAGTCTCGTGTGTAGCCATTATGTGGATATATACATTTTAACATGAGCTAATCTAGCTAAAGCTGATTAATTGCTTTGGCATCGACAAATTGCCCACTATTGGTTTGACAAGGTAATGGTGCAACAGCAGCTTGGTAGCCATTGTAATCAAGGAGGACTGGGCTTAGCGAACGGTCATGTGAAAGTTTGTTAAATGCAAAAACACATAACAATTGCACTCCAGCACTTAATAAACCAAACCTTCATAATGGTTATAATTATCACAGAAGCTGTTTTACCTTCATAACTGTTATTTGTGGTCATGCCTTTGTATCCAGGATTTGTAAGTCTTTAATATTTGGGACAACTTTAGGAAATGTTTCCATTCATTTTCAAAGCTTCTTGAGCTCCACTGATATTTAAAGTTAAAAGTTTTGCAGTTTCTTAATCCCTTACAAAGGCCTGATCTTGATGACTTTCCCATTTTTCAGTGCAGGACATTTTTGTTACCTTGAGCAGTTCAGTGATATTTCAATAAAAAGTGTATAAAAACAAATTTTGACAGTCGTACAAATGTAGGACTTACACAATATGTGTATTTATAGCAATGATACAACACACCTATTGTATCAGTGAATTCCATCTTAATCTAGTGTGGTAACATTGTGTTGCTGATAGAAAATATCATCCTTGTCTCTCACTTCTGATGAAGTAGTAGCTTTACTCTCAGCACGTGAAAAACAAATGAATACATCCATATTCATGACCTTGAGATAAGAAGTAAGACCCTGTGTTTGTGGACACAGGAGCAGCTGCACTATCAGCAGCTGTGTTCGGCTCCACCACAGGGGCTGATGCTTTCAACCCACTCAGACAATACTCAAAAATGACGCCCAGAGCCCACGCTCTGACGTCAAAGAAATAAAATCGCTCTCTGACGTCAATGGAATGCGAAGCCCTGCAATTTCCCCGAAGAGATGGGAAATTACCAGCCTTCACAGCAGCTCAGGCATTGAGTTCAGGATAGATAGTCTATCAAACTATAACAGCCACATGCACGATTGGCAAAGTACGACTAAATGAAAAAGTATTTATCTTAAAAATAGTCTGAGTCAAGTCTGAGCTAGAGACTGACACGTATGAAAATGACATAGCTGTTAAAGTGATTGAGTTAATGCTGAAAATGAAGATTATGCTAAATTTACCTAATTAAGAGTGTTGAGTTTGTATTAACAGCAAACAGCCGGAAAAGCAAATGAATACAGCAAAGTGAAGCAGATCAGAAAACAGAATTCTGACTAAAAGAGTAAATTATTAAACATGGGAAGTTAAGCTGTCTCTCCAACAACAGAAGAAGTCAAGAAAAGCATAGATTCCCTTAAATTAAATTTTCACCTATTTCTCGACACTGCTACGTGCCAGGAACAAAGCTTCAAAAATTCATAGGTAGAGATAAAAATGATTTTCTTTTACCACATACCATAATTGACATCAGTTCATTCACACACACTGCTCTCACAAGGCTCTGCATATGTCTGCACTATCTCCTGTTATATTTTATTTCAAATAAAAGGTCTGGGTCTTTCTCGGAAAAAAAGAGGTTTAAAACAGGGCTGCTATTTTGTGAGAATTCTTGAGACAGAAAACCAATCTTGTGCCACGTTCCTGCCATCGTTATCTTTCTCATATCGCTCAGGTATATCTGCGGCTTCCTCCCAGATGTAAGAGATGCAGAATGGGGTTAGGTCAATTTGGGTCTGAATGAGAGCGTGAATGATTGTTCTCTCCTTTGGCTCTGCGGAACATTGGTATCCGGTCCAGTGTGTTACCCGCCTTTCCCGTTAATGCATAAGTTGTAAGGATGGACTCACTCGAGCCAATGTTATCGCTGCATGAAAAACAGGGCTAAGTCATTTGTATGACATGTGCAGCACTGCAGCAGAGATTCACACACAAAAAAAGTGAACACAACTTGACATCATTGGGTTCGTTTGGAATGTTCTACACATTTTTGCAATTTGCTACTGAAGAAATGCATGGCACCTGACACCATGTGACCATGCAGACAAATGTACTGGACAATCCTGACAAGGAAATACATAAGTATGTATTTATTGAAATGATTTAATTCAAATCAATCCACCTGTTGCTGATTCAAAAACACTTCCCTAATCTTTAGCAGCACACACATAATCATTCAACCAACAGTGCGAGTCTAGACTCAATGCACATTACCTCAGCTCTAGAGGCTGATACAACATGCAGCAATGATCTTTTTTTCTTTAACTTCAATCAAGAACATTCATAGTTTTGCATCGCCCATCGTCTTGTTCATTTTATGCCATATGGCCTTGGTTGGTGGTATGGTGGGATGAAGCCATCACACTGTGAGACGTTTGTCTTCTTTTTGCAATAACCCAAAACTCCACCACATTTTTCCTATGATTGTCAACTTTCACAAGGAACAGCTCAAAATCTCAGTGATGAGGGGCCACAACTGTGTAAAACTTGTCGTAAGCTATTGATTGTCGTTAGCTTGCTATTGTCTCATCCTATGTATCCAGCTGTCTAACAGATTAGACATGCATCCAGACACAGACTCAAGAGTGGCAGAAAGAGAAAGGCCCCAAAATAAAGCCATCACTTTTAAACTTTATGGCCTGCATCCACTATTATGGTACGCAGCCTGTTTCTGGAGCTATATATGACTTGCTGTGTCCTGCGGCACAGAGACTGTGTGAGTAATGAGTGGCGTGATTAACAATGGCATTGCTCACAATCATCCCCCTCCTTCTCACCCTCCTTCCAATCAGTATCTGTCTAGCTCTCCGTCGAACAGCCTCGGGGAGAATTGGGTGTATTCAGCATTTCCATCAGTGGCTACCTCGATGAAACAGCAAACATTGGGAGTGTCACTTTGGAAAGAAATTGTAAAATTTTACACATAAATCTGAAGGTTCATGAGATACGATTCTCTGCATTGTCTATTGCTTTGAAGTTTACATGTCTTTCACCTGGAAGATATCTTGCAAATGAAAATGCTAAGCAAGAATGAAAAAAAACAACAGCATGCCATTAGGTTTGACCATCAAATTTTGAGTCTTTCCCAAATTTCTTCTGAATGTTCTCGCAACACAAATACCCCTCTGTCAAGGGCTTTCAGGGTTTGCCAACTATTTGGTTTGCCATTGACACAATTCTAGAAAGTTTCTGAGGTCTACCATTTCAGTGACTTGGCTTTGCAAGGAGGAGGAAAATTGAAACACTCACGGAACAATTTTGTACACCTCTGTCTACTGACACCTGTGACATTCTATTTTCTGAGAAAGATAAAGTGTGAGCATCTCTTGCAAATACACTGTAATGTACTCTAAATAATGTATTCTCAGTATCAGAATTTCACAAAGTCCAGAACTGTACCAAAGATTTTACAGTTTTAAAGTGTCAACATGTTCATGGTCATTGGGGTGTGTGTGTGTGTGTGTCTATTATTACACATTTTTGTGTGCAGGTAATTAATTCTGTCGTCTTGGCCAAATTGATTTATAGCTGGCTATGTGACGCATGTTTCAAGGGCCTAAGTGTCGGCCAAATTGGCAGCTTCAACAAAGGGCCATGTTTTCTGTTGGCCAATGAAGTCCATGTCATCAGCCTACTTATGCGATCTAAAGTGCTCCTCGTTGATCATAATTGATTCATAAAAAGGGAGAATAGCACAGGGGA